GGATCTGGGTCGATTCCCGCTAGTGACTCCAGAACAGAGAGCAGAAATCGCAGATCCACCTTGGTGAGGGTGGTGAGGACCGGTTCCGTTTGCGTGGTGAGTGTTTGCGGTACCGTTTGCAGGTGGAGAGCGGTCCATTTGTTGTATAGTCGCGTCCAAATCCACTTCCATGTGATGGTTTCAAGATCAAAAGTGGAACGGGACTGGGATTTCGCAGAAGTCTCCTGGGATGGCGCTGTGGCCCCCACGTCCATCACAGATTTCTGTGTGGGCGTAGACATCTTTGCTAATAGCAGTGAGCGATTTGGCTGGTCGGGCTAGAGATCTTTGATCTTTTGCAGGCACGGAGTGGCTGTACACGTGCCGATGTTGGTGTTGGCGTTTTTTGAATGCTGGACTTCGTTTGTAGATCGTTCTGCTAACCGGTATTCCATCTTGATCACTTCCAGCTGTGCGTCCTTTGGGAACTTCTTTCGAAAGAAATTCTTTAGCGACAACGATTGTGATGTATACTCGAATCGTTCCAATTGTAAAATGCAGGCTTCTACGGCATACCATTCTCTGTGAATAAGCATTAACAGAAGACGGCAGGATCTGTTCGAGCTTCTGTAAGAAGAGATTGTGAGTATAATCTGGTCTGTCAAAACGCTTAAGTAATTGTTCAATAGCTAGATTGTAATTGCGTGGATCAATTATGTCGAAGGCTTCTACAGCTAGCGCGACCCCTTTAAGACTACTGATTGAATAGAGAAATTTGTTGGTAGCAGAAAGGGATGGATTATTATGGACTGTGGTCTTGAAGTTGGCCCAAAAATCACTAAATCGGAATGGTTCCCCATCAAAGGTTGGTAATTCTTTTTGCGCAGCTGTACAGCCTGATCCTCATTCGAGGGCAATCTGCGTAGGGAAGATGGTATATTGCGAGAATGCGCGAGCTAGAGTTGAAGAAAGGTTGCTGAGCGAGAGCTGAGCGCGGACTTCTTCAGCGAGCCTAACCTCTAAGTCTATCTGCGCATCAAGCTGA